TACCACATGGATCAGGAGATATGTCATATTGAAACTTTTTCATGCATGATTTGAACAATCTTAAAGATGTTTGAAAAACTTTGCTCAGTGTTTTTAGTTTTTAGATTTTCAAACGCAATTTTGGTAATCAGAAATTTGCAAAAATCAAAAAGAAAAATTGTAAATTTTTTTTGTTGTTTTTTTGTTTTTTGAGTCATTTGTCTGCAAAACAGTTTTCCAATTTAGCTATTTTAAAATGATTGAAGAGTACGTTGAAATTCTACTTTATAGTTTTGATCTAATCCCTTTATCCTACCACGCAGAAAAAAAAACGAGAAAAAACTAGACTTTTTGAAAAATGATCGGAAAATTCTGTGCAACTTGCAAAATAACCAGCTTTTTAGTTTCAAATCGCTGAAGGGGGGCTTCCGCTCCAACGCTTTCCCTAAATCGGCCCCTGAGCAAAACACAACTGAAATTTAATAGTTTGAAAAGTTATTTGATCTACTTTTGTCAGGGACTTGTATTTCAGTCAAGCCAATTAATAGTACGGTTTCAACCTGACACTATCAATGTTCCTAAAGATTTGATACGACGTAGTTTTTATTTTTTCTTGAATAATTTTAGCATACTATTTTGACCTATGGCTTCACATTGCGCAGTACACACTTTAGGAAACAAAAATTAGATGTTCTCGCCAACCAAAAAATAATGAGTTGTGATCTGCATTTTTGACCAATGAACCCAAAATTTTTTGATACCGCTTTTATCCACTCTCCTCGAAAAACAATCCCAGACGCGCCTCTGATTAGGTCATAATGAAAGAGTAACTAGCAGATAAAAATAATCGTGCTAAAGTCATAATTATATATTCTGGTTTTTAAGGATTACGAATGCTTGTTTTATGCAATTCTGTAAAAAATCATTGAAAAACTCAGCTACACAATTGTTTTTTTTTTCATCGGTTATTGCTGAAAGTTGTGGTCGGAAAATATACAACTCAATATTCGAGTCAGGTGCTTATCTTTAAATCCCTTTTTATACTTTGTCATCCATAACAATCATCACCTTTAAGGCATTAATATGCAAACTGTTTTTATTTATTACCCAAAGAAAAAGTATGCGAATGTTATACTGACTGACTGTCCAGATGATTTGGACCAGATACTTTGCCAGTCTGTTAGACCAGAAACATTTCATGAGAATGGTTCCTCGGAGGAAATCTCAGAGAGCCAAAACACCTTCAAGTGTTGCCACGAACCTTGTCCCCAGAACTTTATCGCCGCACATTATACTGAAATGTCAAACAAGAGCGTCGTTTTTAGGCATTATAAAAATAGTAAAAACTACTTTGTACTTAAAATAGAACAAATATTGCCTCAAAATATCTGTTGTCTGTTGTTTGAGCATAATTGAAACCTACTTTCTCTAGCCGGGCCTTTCGACACAATGAAGCGGCTTGCGAGGGTCAAAGCTCTAAAAGAGAGAACAGTTGGTATGTATTGATGTTTAGTGATCGCAGAGCGAAACGGTCATCCCGCAGAAAGGCCAGTTAGCGTAGATTTATCCATGCCTGATTGTTTTATTCCGTAAAATTACTTTCATATTTCTTAATTCAAGTGACATAGATATATACCAAAAAAGTTGATTCTTTTGGAAGTCATTCTGAATACTTCACTCTGTGAATGACAATTATAATCAATTGATAGTCTTCTTACTGCTAAACCATTAGAGTCAGGAAACATTTTTTGGGCGGCGGGGGGATGCGAAATTGTACTTTTTTGCAGATAGTGCCCATTTAGAATCGCAGGTTCAAGTTTTCATACTTTCTTGCTTTGATGTATACATAAAAAAATTTACAATAAATTCACGTCGGACAACTTTAGTCTAAGATTGTCACAGTACAACTGATGAAACCGGTAGCTCCACATAGTTTTCTTTAAAAACCTAATGGTGCTCTAAAAGTGGGAAAAAAGGGATATTGATAAATTCCTTCTATGCTCTACCTACTACCTTCTATTCAAACAAACTCATTCGAGTTAATTCAATATCCCGGGTTGACCTCCATAGACCGAAAATGCTAATCATACAATTTCATACACTTAGTCTATGGAAAAATGCTAGTCATACAAATTTCATACTTTTTTGCAAATTGAGTTTAATCGAATTTCAAAGGTATTTTATAGTTGTTTTGGTATCGAAATTGGTATCTCTTCATAAAAAAAGGAAAAAAATGGTATGGAAAAATTTCTACCCATACAATTTCCATATATGGCTTTGAACAATCAATTCAACTGCTGGCAAAACATTTAAGCGTTTTTTGGGCTGCTACGACATATATGGAAATTGTATGACAAGCATTTTTTTGATGGCGTCGACAAAAATTTTTCTAAATATTTTTGAAATTGCCTCCAAAATTTTTTGTGTTTTTTTTTCAACCGCAAATTGATTTTCGTATTCAAACAAACATTTTTTGAAAAAAAAATTTGCATGCAAAATTTAATTTTTTGTGTGTATAGCGTAGTCCTGGATATACTAATATTGGATTTTTTTCCTTTTCTCTTCATAATTTTTTCAAAAACGCTTAAAATTTCTCTTTCTTTTGTATGACATGTTTTTGTATGCCTTGATCAATGTCTGGTAATTTAAAAATTCAAATTTTAGAAATAATCATCTTTGAAAGTTATTGCCAAAATTTAAAAAATCATTAATTTCGTTATATTATTTGTCTGAGACAGAAGTAACACATATCAGGCTGTTTCCAATGCATTTTTAATGCGCGACGTCGAAACCGTTGGTTACTACGTTTGAGTAATCAAGGTTTATGTCATTTGTGTTCGGTTACGAACACAACCAAATTATTTTGAGAAATTAAAATGTAAAAAATCAATATTTTTGGTTTATGGAAAAATGCTAGTCATTCAATTTCCACATAAGAAAAAATACTAATCATAGACCTTTCATGCAATTTTCTGTACGTATGGAATTGTATGGAAAGTGTATGACTAGCATTTTTCCATATATGGAAATTGTATGACTAGTATTTTTGGTCATCCCGGGATAGTTCTTGCAAGCTCTGAATTCCTTGCACGGTGGGTTTAAGGGTTTTGGGACTTTACTTTTAACTTTTTGGAGACAGGAATTACGGAGAAAACCTGAAAAAAGTTCATTGATTATAACTACCGTTGTGATTCAATAACTCTGATTCAATCTGATTGGTTGATTTCAATAGGGGGACGACCCTGTTGAATAGCTAAGATTAAGTGTTTTAGATCTTTTGTTGTTGCCCTCATCCAACCCTGATTGGTTCTGTCTGTGTAATCCAGTAAACAAAAACACGGATTCTTTTGTCATCAAAGAGTCCTATGAAGTCAAATACCAAAGAAAATCTTAGTGTGATTTACTTTGGTTTCTCTTTTGAGTTCGTTAGATGAAACAAAAAAAAACAAAGAAAAGAAATATTTCCACGAATTTTGGGTTTGTTTTTTGTTTCTTGTAATTGTGCTAGCGTTCATTACGAGGCCAAACTGTGAATGGAATATCGCTTAAGGTCAGCGTGCAAGTCGAAAATTTCCGGTTGTCTACTTCAGCTATCAGCTTCATTAAAGGTTTAAAACGCGTCGGAAGTCATCCTTAATAAACTTCACCTAAATAAGGAAATTCAATTTTGAACCCTAATCAGAGCCAGCATATGTTGAATTTGCTCCGTTGATTGAATGCGATTGATTTAAAATACAAATTCCTAGTTTTGAATGTAATTGTTCAACTATGCTTAAAATTTGTCCCTATGTCAATTAGTTTCAAATTGATGAACCTTTTATTGACTTGCAGTAGTTTGTTGCTATTCTTACTGTTTTTAATTGTTTTCACAGAATAAAAAATCATTTTGATGCTTAGTCACGATCTACATTTTATTAATGTCCCACGTTTCGCCCCACACATATTTCGCCCCTTTTAAATCTAGTGGCACATTTCGCCCCTCACACATTTCCTCCTCGCACGTTTCACCCCTAACTTACTACACGTAGTTAATTAACGCCGCTTTCTTAATGTATATTTTTGGGGCGAAATGTTATAGTAATTTATGATGGCGAAATGTGTGAGGGGCGAAATGTGCCACTAGATTCAAAAGGGGCGAAACGTGTGAGGGGCGAAATGTGTGAATACCACATTTTAAATGTACAATTTAGAAAGTATCATTGTAGTCTCTGAGACAAAAAAAGTCGCAGTTTTATAGTTGTGATATGAATGAATGAAGAGGTACCGAATGATTGAAAACTTTCCACTAATCAGATTTGTCTGAAGCATCAAGAAGATATTAACCGCTGAACGCTTCACATGCTGAAAAACAGAATGTAAAAAAATGATACAATATGGCGTCCCGCAAATAATCGTCCGGCGTTTTCATAAACAGTTCGAGCCTCCGGCTCAAGCAAGCTCGCAAGAGGCATCAGCCCAATTGCATTATCTGCTCTCATTTCGTTCATTTCTGATTGGTTGGTTTTCACCCATCAATCGGCCCTTCCAATTTCCCCGCTGTATGTAAGCTTTGCTCTCGTTTCAGGGGCGGATTTAGAGGGGGGCGGGGGGTGCGGACGCCCCCCCCCCCCTTCCTCAGGGATTCGACCCCCTGCCGACCCAAAGGGTCCCCCTAAGATACTTTTTCAGAAATCCATTTTTGGCCGACCGACCCTAAATTTTTTCTAAAGGCGCCTTTGGCGCCAGTATATACTAACTTTGAGGGAGAGCGCGCGCCAAAAAAAACGCAATTTTTTTGTCAAAGTTTTTCAAAAAGTGCCCAAAAACGGCCTTTTTGACTGTTTTTTTTTTTTCAAAAATTTGCCTGCGGCGCACAAAATTTTGCCAAATAGGGGAAAATCAATTTGGTCCACCTAAAAATTTTTTCTGAAAATCTGCCCCCCCCCCCCTCGAGAAAATCCTAGATCCGCCACTGTCTCGTTTCTGTCATTTTTTCTTTAGAACTCCTTAGGATACAGAGCTGAAACTCCGAGATAGCATCAATTTCCTTTGTAAATTTTTTAAGTGAGTATATTTATTTATATACATATTTGAATTTAAATATAGTTGATTCAGGAACTTGAACGCATGGTTTCGGAATTTCGATAGAAGGGTCTAATGAAGCTTTTTAAATAAGTTTTTTTTTCCTATTTTAACCTATCAGGTCCTTTAAAGCATTTTTATTACTTATATCTCTGTATTTATAGTCCCGTATCTTAAGTAGTTGTAGAGAAAATAAGGCTGCTCGTATATCAGGACAAAGCCCTGAATGTTCCGACTGTCGTCCGACTGAATAAAAAAAACCACACCGAGCATAAATTTTCCGTTTTCTTCGAAAGTCGGAACAATAACATAACACATCAGGACAAAGCCCTGAACGTTCCGACTGTCGCCCAATTCATATCGAATAGTTTTTGGGAAACGAAAGTATTGAAAACCTACATTTTGGACTGAGTGTGAAATTTTGAGTCGTACGATATTAATACGACCAATTAGCTAGCCCCAAATCAATTTGGAACAATTTTGTTGTGCGGTGTAATTCGCCACGCATAAATAATTCGCGTTACGTTCTCAGCATTACGAATAATCTCTTTAAAGCGCGCATAATTTAGTCCAGAATATGGCCAATTTGGCAATTTTCAACCCCCAGAACTGTACAAAAACTTTTTGGACGTAAAATAATTATTTAAGTTTGAACTCAGTAAGTCGATATCTTCAATGGGGTATTAAAAAGTTTGGCTGAAAACTGTTATTTCGATATGCAAAAATTAGCTGAATATAAAAAACCACACCGAGCATAAATTTTCCGTTTTCTTCGAAAGTCGGAACAATAACATAACACATCAGGACAAAGCCCTGAACGTTCCGACTGTCGCCCAATTCATATCGAATAGTTTTTGGGAAACGAAAGTATTGAAAACCTACATTTTGGACTGAGTGTGAAATTTTGAGTCGTACGATATTAATACGACCAATTAGCTAGCCCCAAATCAATTTGGAACAATTTTGTTGTGCGGTGTAATTCGCCACGCATAAATAATTCGCGTTACGTTCTCAGCATTACGAATAATCTCTTTAAAGCGCGCATAATTTAGTCCAGAATATGGCCAATTTGGCAATTTTCAACCCCCAGAACTGTACAAAAACTTTTTGGACGTAAAATAATTATTTAAGTTTGAACTCAGTAAGTCGATATCTTCAATGGGGTATTAAAAAGTTTGGCTGAAAACTGTTATTTCGATATGCAAAAATTAGCTGAATATAAAAAACCACACCGAGCATAAATTTTCCGTTTTCTTCGAAAGTCGGAACAATAACATAACACATCAGGACAAAGCCCTGAACGTTCCGACTGTCGCCCAATTCATATCGAATAGTTTTTGGGAAACAAAAGTTTTGAAAACCTACGTTTTGGACAAAATCAGAGTGTGAAATTTTGAGTCGTACGATATTAATACGACCAATTAGCTAGCCCCAAATCAATTTGGAACAATTTTGTTGTGCGGTGTAATTCGCCACGCATAAATATTTCGCGTTACGTTCTCAGCATTATGAATAATCTCTTCAAAGCGCGCATAATTTAGTCCAAAATATGGCCAATTTGGCAAATTTCAACCCTCAGAACTGTACAAAAACTTTTTGGACGTAAAATAATTACTTAAGTTTGAACTCAGTAAGTCGATATCTTCAATGGGGTATTAAAAGGTTTGGCTGAAAACTGTTATTTCGATCTGTAAAAATTGACTGAATATAAAAAACCACACCGAGATTAAATATTCCGTTTTCTTCAGAAGTCGGGACTATAAAATAAACGTGAATAAAAAGTTTGTTCATTTCCTAGTTTAGAAAATTCTTCTCTATGACTGTAAAAAATCTCGTTTTCAATCGAAACGTCTTAATTTTTTGAAAAAAAACTGACTTTTAAGCTGAAAATAATTAGAAAGTTTCGCGTTTGCCTTTTTGTCGGCATTTCATGTGCTTTTTTCTTTCGAAAGATTGCATGTCAAATAGGCGCTAAAGAAACATTTTCGTTTGCTTTGTTGATAATTCAATTAAAACCATCACTCTACTTCATTGACTCAAAGTCAAATTTGTTCCATAAAATCACGTTGTCCTATAACTTTTTGTTCCGACTTTCGTAACGAAAGTAACCGAATATTTGCGCTCGGGTTGGTTTGTTTTCTTCACACAAAATCTATCACTTTGTTATTTATATGGCATGTGGAGGGATGATTTTTGCAAACTTCTCAAATATCAATTTCTTTTTTACTTTTTTTTCATTTAATTTTTCATGTTATTACTGCTCCATAGACATTGAAAGGCAGTCGGAGCGTTCAGAGCCTCGCCCTTATACGAGCAGTCTTGTTAAAACTAAAGATCACAATTTGTATCAAAAAGATACATACATACATACACCATTGGTTCATCAACTGCAATTGATTCGCGCACAAACAAAAACGAGTTTTAATCGATGTGTGACAGACAAGGATTTCTTTGAAAATGTCAATTCGAAAAAATTTAAACTGATAGCGAAAACTATCCACTCTGATTGATCCTGCAACAGTTTGAATTCGTTTTTATTAAAATTTAGAGCTGCAATGTTTGGAAACATTCTACTGTTAAAAATTGAATGAAACCAATTTTTTTTCATCCTTTTCCTCATTCCTTTTTACAATAAATATGTTTTTTTTTGCTCAAATTTTGGATTGAGGTAACAATTAAAATAACTTGATGCTGTTTGAGTCTACAAAAATCTCGACCCAAAAAAAATCAATTTAAGTTGGTTCTATCGAGAGTTCGATAGCTTTTTTATCCTGCAGAAATCTATATCAATTGAGAAAAATCCCTTTTAGAGTCGATAAAACTCGTTCGCAACAAAAAACTATTGATTCTATTCCCAATCGATTTACGTAAGCGAATGGGTTTTATGCAATCACTTTTTATTTTAAACTGTATATAAATTATATTTAAAAACCGATTAAACTTTATCATAGTCGAGGTTTTGTCAATATGTGTGTGTGTTTAAAGATCACGATATTAAGTAGACTGCTTATATCAGGGTGAAACATTGAATGTTTAGACCGTCTTTTAGTGTCTATGGTATATAATTTGGTCTAAAAAATATTTGAAAATTTCAGAAATATTTGAGAAAATCAATCTTTTTTATTTCATTTTGACTATTATCCTCCGACACGCTGTGTCAACTGCAAAGTGATATTATATCAAAAAACTAACTAGACCAATTAATATGCCTTTATCCGATTTCGAGCGATTTCTAAAACTTATGAAATCTCCGTTTACGACGTAAAAGTAGGAATTATATTGCGCGTTAATTATCCCAAATTCGCGAAATATGACTACCGGTGAAAAATTTTTCAAAAGGGAGCTCAGGTTATCAATACGTTTCAATTATTTTTTAAAAATACGTCAAAAATAGCTATTTAAAACAATGAAGTTTGTCTAGAGAAAAAATCACCACCCCGAGCACAAATGAAGGAGTCACTTTCTGCGGAAGTCATAACTTTGAATTTTAAATGATTTTATTACTCAATTTTTGAAGTTTTCGGTTTTTCAATTTGGCTTGTTTGGGATAACCAATGCACATTTTTCTAGAGATAAAATCAATCAATTTATAATTATTTTGAGGAATTAAAGATAAAAGTAAATTTTGAGAGCTATATATATTTTTTAATCAATACTTCATTGAAGTTTTTTGAAACTACTTTAAGACAAGTTAAAAGGCATTCGGAGTTTTCTTAGCTTTGCCTAAATATGAGGTTGTTTGATTCAATATTAGAATAAAATCATGTGCATGAAATTTTTCCCATTAGTTACCAGTTGAAGTCATAGTTCTGAATTTTATCTTAAATAATAAATGATGTTCTAGAGGGTTTTCTTTGTGACGGGGACAAACGGAAGATTCCCTACAATTATGTGTGTGACGGGGAGTTCGACTGCTTGGACGAATCGGACGAAAACGTCGTACTCTGCGGGAGTAAGTGACCTTGAATTATTCCTTGTACTAACAACTATTAACAATAATTGTACCAACTACCAATACCTAAAATAATTCTTTTAAATGAAATTATCATACAATAACGAAGAAACGTTTCTAGGGAAGGGCGGGTCTAGGATTTTCTTAAGGGGGGATTTAAAAAAATTTTCAAAAATTTTGTCGACCTTTTTTTAGGTCGACCAAATTGATTTTCCGAGCTCTCCCAAATCACTAAAAAAGCCTGCTCTGGTCAAATTTTTTGCGCCGCAGGCAAAGTTTTGAAAACAGGCCAAAAAAAGGCGTTTTTAAGCAATTTTTGGAAAGTTTGACCAAAAAATCGCGTTTTTTTTGGCGCGCGCTCCCACCTCAAAGTTAGTATTTTTGGCGCATTTTTTAGGTTCCGTTACCAAATTTGGATATCTCAAATAGTAAAAAGCCCCTTCCCCTAAATGCGCCCCTGAGTTACAATGGCACCGAAAACGCCTTTAGACTTTTTTTGATGTTGGCCACCCAAAAAAATGGACCTCGTCAAGTTATTACGGGGAGGGGGCTTATGCAATCATAAAAAATTTAGTAGACAATCATATACTGTAACTCCATTAGCTGAAATATCTATGAAATCATATAATATACAGTAAACAAATTTTTATCTTCACAAAAACCAAAATAGTTATGCTTTTTCTCAATAGGAGTGCAATGAAAAAAAATGCAAACATTTACTGGGCGGCGTATCGACTAGCATAAAACTTTTAAATTCGAAATTCGTATCGACTAGCCGCAAAATCCAAACTAAAAAGTCGAATTGGATCTCTTTAACTATTTCCCCCTAGGGTACCTAGTAACGAAATGCAACCCAGTATTGAATCCACCTCGTTTGCAAAACGAGGTGGCGAATAGCTGAAAGATCCATTAAGTTTTGTCCAACTTTTAAAATCGTTATACACAGGTGCGGGGATTTAGGGGGGCGGAGGCATTTACATTATGGATTCAACCCCTCGCCAACCAGTGGGGAGCGGTGGTGAAGTGCTTGCGTCTCCGCCTCTCAATCGAAAGGGCGGATGTTCGAGGCCCACCATGACGCGTGCTCGCTGCTTGAGGGCGAGGCAACATTACCTAGCTCAGAAAAAAATCCAAAAAAATTGCATGTAGATCTTAACCAGGGGCACAACAGCGGTTAACCGTGAAGAGCTGAACAGCTAGTATGTTGCTACTTTCTTCTGTGGATAAATCGCCTTAACTTAATCGCCTCATCAACCAAAGGTCCAGTTATGCTATTCGATATGACTTTCAGTTTTAAAACTTTTATGCTCCATCAATAAACTTTTGCCTTTTTTTCTTTAAACTCTGATTCAAAAGAGGTATTATTATTTTTTTATAGATGAGAAATTTAACAAGGATAGCCCGTTACCGTGCAAGTTGCACAGAATGTTCCGGTCATCGTGGAACCTGATCTAAACTATATTTTATGATTGGACAAATTGGATATTTTACCACTGTAAAGTATTTAATATTAACCAATCATAATCAATCTAACTAACAACCCACTTATTTGTAAGTGCTGAAATTACTTGAAATTTCAGCACCAGAGAGATTTGAATTTAACTTAGAAATTAGTTGACTCTCCAAGAGAACTTCAGCAGCCGCAATGAACCAGTATACCCTAGATCTATTGAGCCTAGCAGAGACTAGTTAAACACCCTGAGACTAGAAAGTTTAAGAGTAAGATTAGGATCGGTATTAGACTAAGAAGTTGCACGAATCTATCCGGCCGAAAATAAGATAGCGCAGACGGTGTACCCTATCCGAAATTACTCTATGAGTTAACCACATCGGTTCTAACTCATCTGGTGCGACCAACACAAACTTTTGTATTTAGAATCTTATTAGCAATGAATTTAGATTTTCATTTGCAAACATAAAATTTTGAAGTCAATGAAAGAAATAATAAAACACAAAAAAGTCGCAAGACAAACCCATACCAAAAACAATTTGATTTTTGACAAAAGGACACAACCAAAGAAACATAAGAAAGACCAACATAAACCCAACATAAAACGTTATCACATAACAGGACCTCTCAAAGAAACAGCACGAAATCATACTCCCACTCCTGGCCTAACCCACCAGAGAGGACGTCCTGAGCATGCTCTATAGCCGGCCCAACCCACCGCGCTACATCCACGCTTTGTGACCACACTTCTATTTTTAATAAGAGGTACTCAAGGGTGAGTAACTCTTCAAAATAACCGAACTAAAACAAAATGCTTTTGTGAAAACAACTAACTAAACTCATGATTAAAAAACCGAACTAATAAAATTTTATAAAATGTAAATCATACCTTGCAGTATATAGATCAACACACAACAACAAAGACGAACAACCAAAGACAAAATGATTCCATCACACTCGAACAAGAATGGCTAACCACAACCGATATGCCGTCCACAATCACAACTCAAAGGATTTAGAGTACGACTTGACTTCGCAGAAAAGGACTTCATTGAACTAAACCAATGACCACCTCGATGTTCAAGTTACGAGGCATCCCTTCCACACGCGATCTCCACGCCATTCCCAGATGAGGTTGAACACAAAACAAGTTCTCTACAAAATAACAGAAAAACCCGTCATAGCAAACCATTTTGAAATCAGATTGATTTCATTGGGGAACACAGTCGTTGTCACAAGACGACACAACGATTGATGTTCCTAACTCCAGCGTCCTGGAACTTCTTTAACAAGAGGAACCGGACAAGAATATGATGTTCGCCAAATACAAACGTTCATCATCCATCCTTTGAATTGCAGAAAGATAATTCAAAAAACTCTGTAAAACCCGGATGGGTGGAACCTGATCTAAACTATATTTTATGATTGGATAAATTGGATATTTTACCACTGTAAAGTATTTAATATTAACCAATCATAATCAATCTAACTAACAACCCACTTATTTGTAAGTGCTGAAATTACTTGTAATTTCAGCACCAGAGAGATTTGAATTTAACTTAGAAATTAGTTGTCTCTCCAAGAGAACTTCAGCAGCCGCAATGAACCAGTATACCCTAGATCTATTGAGCCTAGCAGAGACTAGTTAAACACCCTGAGACTAGAAAGTTTAAGAGTAAGATTAGGATCGGTATTAGACTAAGAAGTTGCACGAATCTATCCGGCCAAAAATAAGATAGCGCAGACGGTGTACCCTATCCGAAATTACTCTATGAGTTAACCACATCGGTTCTAACTCATCTGGTGCGACCATAAGTCTCGAATAAGACCTTAATAGCTTAGAACTAACCAAAAATAGATTAGAATTTAGACATAACATTTTCAAAATGTTATACGATAATAATTTAATCGAAATGTCTCTACGACTCAATAGATCAGAGCCGATATTCCGAACAATAAAAGAACTACCCGGAATTGGAAGAAGACCTCGAACAAGAGACGACATACGACAAAGTAGAAACTTACCATTTAGTTTTATGATTGTACGGCAAAAGCCAACACAAACTTTTGTATTTAGAATCTTATTAGCAATGAATTTAGATTTTCATTTGCAAACATAAAATTTTGAAGTCAATCTTCATGATCAATTCAGGCGCTAAACAAAATTATTAATGTACAATAACGATTGATAAAAAGATCTCAGATGGTTTTCTTAATTTCTGCAGTCTTATATAAAACATATTTGAAAAATATTTATTGAAAATGAAAATAAAAATTAGTAGCATGACAATAAATTGTTATTAATCATAAATCATCTGTTATCCCAGCTTCATCACCTAAACATAACAGCAATCATAACAGCAATCATAAGATTGATTTCATTGGGGAACACAGTCGTTGTCACAAGACGACACAACGATTGATGTTCCTAACTCCAGCGTCCTGGAACTTCTTTAACAAGAGAAACCGGACAAGAATATGATGTTCGCCAAATACAAACGTTCATCATCCATCCTTTGAATTGCAGAAAGATAATTCAAAAAACTCTGTAAAACCCGGATGGGTGGAACCTGATCTAAACTATATTTTATGATTGGATAAATTGGATATTTTACCACTGTAAAGTATTTAATATTAACCAATCATAATCAATCTAACTAACAACCCACTTATTTGTAAGTGCTGAAATTACTTGTAATTTCAGCACCAGAGAGATTTGAATTTAACTTAGAAATTAGTTGTCTCTCCAAGAGAACTTCAGCAGCCGCAATGAACCAGTATACCCTAGATCTATTGAGCCTAGCAGAGACTAGTTAAACACCCTGAGACTAGAAAGTTTAAGAGTAAGATTAGGATCGGTATTAGACTAAGAAGTTGCACGAATCTATCCGGCCAAAAATAAGATAGCGCAGACGGTGTACCCTATCCGAAATTACTCTATGAGTTAACCACATCGGTTCTAACTCATCTGGTGCGACCATAAGTCTCGAATAAGACCTTAATAGCTTAGAACTAACCAAAAATAGATTAGAATTTAGACAAAACATTTTCAAAATGTTATACGATAATAATTTAATCGAAATGTCTCTACGACTCAATAGATCAGAGCCAATATTCCGAACAATAATAGAACTATCCGGAATTGGAAGAAGACCTCGAACAAGAGACGACATACGACAAAGTAGAAACTTACCATTTAGTTTTATGATTGTACGGCAAAAGCCAACACAAACTTTTGTATTTAGAATCTTATTAGCAATGAATTTAGATTTTCATTTGCAAACATAAAATTTTGAAGTCAATCTTCATGATCAATTCAGGCGCTAAACAAAATTATTAATGTACAATAACGATTGATAAAAAGATCTCAGATCGTTTTCTTAATTTCTGCAGTCTTATATAAAACATATTTGAAAAATATTTATTGAAAATGAAAATAAAAATTAGTAGCATGACAATAAATTGTTAGTAATCATAAATCATCTGTTATCCCAGCTTCATCACCTAAACATAACAGCAATCATAAGCTCATTAATATCATTAAAATACT